TCTTAGATTCTGCGAAGCACTGCTCTTGCTAGGGCCAGTGTTTGCAACACTCCCAGTTTGAGCCCCGTGAGCTCACCTACACCTCAAAGAGAAGCTGAAATAGCCCCTTAAAGCTATCAGAATAAGTAGAAAAAGAACTGGTTAGGGCTTTTTAAACGCTTTTTAAAGAATAATTTACTGTAGCTTTAGGTATACCATGGAGGGGAGTTAAACTCACAGCTTTATGGTACGTAAGAAAAGTACCTATAAAAGCGCACTTTGGAAGACCACAGTAAGCTTAGTGCAGGTATCGGTAAGCTCCACTCTAAAGACGGACGATGGGCTTATCGAAAAGAAGATGACGTAATAATCTCTTAGAGTATTTGTTACTTTGTTTATCTAGCTATCGTGTACTATACTTAACTTACTTCTTACTAATCATAGATTTTTTTTTAATAAATTTACGTGTATTGTCGCTTCCAGAACTATGATTTTGTGCATTGGATGTTCGCAAAAGTTAGAAGTTTCTAACAGCGAAATCTCGTTAGTGCTACGCTTGTATCGGTCCTAGTTTTATGTTAGACTAATCGGAAGTCTCGTGGGAAGTTATCTAATCCCGTTACGTGTTATGTTTCCTCAATAAGGTTAGTCGATAATATTAATTTCTGGCGTGGATCTACTCACGTTAGGAACTTATTTTGAGCACTTAGTATTCAGTAGATTGTATTCACCAGTCTTCAAAATCGAAGAAGTTTAATAGATTGATAAGATAAAGTCGACTATTGGAGTAGTTTCTTTGTTTTAATTGCTGTAAATAGGCTGAGCTGAAGAGCCACTTAATCGTTGTCCGAACACATCTTGATACTTAAGGTCGAAATTTCAGTACAACTGTGCTGATCGCTAATCCAATTCAAATGCATGACTTCTTGGCTGAAGCTATAGACAGCATGGCAATACCATGGCAAAACCTTCGTGAGATAATATATCTTCTTTTTTTTTATTGCTTAGATCGGTGGACGAGCTCACAGCCTACCTGGTGTTAAGTGGTTACTGGAGCCCATAGACATCCACAACGTAAATACGCCACCCACCTTGAGATATAAGTTCTAAGGTCTCAAGTATAGTTACAACGGCTGCCCCACCCTTCAATCCGAAACGCATTACTGCTTCACGGCAGAAATAGGTAGGGCGGTGGTAACTACCCGCGCGGACTCAAAGGAGGTCCTACCACCAGTAAAATCTCTTTAAGAGAAAATGTCTTCTTTAAGAGTGCAGGAGAATTCAAATCAGGACCTGTTACTTCAGTGCCCATTATTTTGACAGTTGCTTTCGATTCAAATCGCGAAAAAGCATTTCACTTAACGCGTGGCGGTTTGTGAGCCTCTTATTAGCCTAGAAGAAAATGTCTAACGACTAGATTAATTGGATTCTATTATTCATATTCATGTAGGAATTAAATTCTGCATGCAATTAAGTTTCACACTTTTCCGCGCACACTACACCTTTTGATCATAATTCGAATTTTTATTATTTTATTATTATAGATTGGATACAAGGATTAACCCGTGGCCCCACCTGGTGATAAATCGTTACCGGAGCCCATTGCTTATCAACAACATAAATGCCACCACCCACTTCGAAACGGCTGCTCCACTATTAAATATTAGGTTTTTTTTTGTTTTTTATAACATCTAAGAGGCAAACGAGCAAGACGGGTCACCTGATGGTAAGTGATTCACCGCCGCCCACGGTCACCAGCGACGCCAGTGCGTTGCCTACCCTTCAGGTAAGAATATGCTCTTTTCTTGAATAACCCAATGTCGCAGTTGTTGGGGAAGACCGCTGATGGCAACGAATTCCAGAGATTTACTGTGATTTATTATGTTTGAATTTATTTAATTTAATTTGTAAATAAATTCAAACATAATAATACCAATGAGGACAAAAATCAGCTTCAGATGCAAATTTTTACTACTTAATATACATATATAAATATTTTTTGTACTAGTTTACCACGTTAACGTTTATTTACTTTATTACAATAGTTGGGATAACTATGTTGGGTCTTAAATCGTAAACTGAAAAGGTGTGGCTATAGGGTAGAAGCGAGCGGTTTTGCAATACCGAATATTTTAAGCGATCGATCGAAATCTCTCAATATTACGTAATGACAATATTGTCGAGATATCTTCGTCTGCGAAGTCATTGGTTCGGTTTCAAAGACTAGTCGTTATATTGCATAACTACGACTTAAATCTCATATTTCAAATGGAGTTGCGATATTCCCATTTATGGTAAAGCTTTTGGTAAGCATTTCAATGTTGAGTTCCTCTCCAACTGCGTTATTTCAAGCTTTCCGTGCGGTCAGTGAATGTAAAACAAAAGTGCGGTCAGGCCAAAGGCACCTTACCGACGGAGTTATTGGCGAAAGTGACTCAACGTCGAATTATCGATCGGTGAACTAGAAAAAGCTTTTTGAAACGCGATTCTCCTCAGTCGATCGCTGTTCAAACTAGCATGTTTCCAAGGAATTTCTGAGGATCGATGCAAGGATATGTCGGAGATCGGTATGGCCTAGTATAGCTCAATGGCGGAGGAAGAAAAGCCCTCACTCTGAACGGTCGGTCAGTTCTTTTGTCGTCTATTTTATATACACATGAGAACGGTCAATTCGTTCTTTGTCTCATTCGTGTCCGTCTTTTAGGAAGTCAAAAAAAGTACCGCCTGCCGCTTGTCACATACGCCCTCTAATTATTTATTTACTTAAAAAAGTACTGCCACATCACAAACATTTAACATTGAAAAATAACTTAAATTATTTAATTTATGGCCTGATGCATGTGACAATATGTATAACTATATTTGAGACCTTGGAACTTATATCTCAAGATGAGTGGCGCGTTTACGTTGTGGATGTCTATGGGCCCCAGTAACCACTTAACACCAGGTGAATGTGAGCTCGTCCACCCACCTAAGCAATAAAAAAAAAAACAATAATGGCGTACATAATAGCATTGGCAATTCATCCGCTCGAAGATGGAATACAATAGTAATTAAAAAAAAAAGAAAATACCCAATGAAAACAAACTTTAAGATTCAAATTTAACAAGTAAAACAGTAATTATTGTTGAATTATTAAAACGAATGTCTAATAAATGTCATGTCATATCAAAAACAAAATACAGAAGATAATATGTCAATATAATATCAAGTAACAACAAGTCAGTTCTCGTAAAACAACTCGTCCCATTTCTCTCTTTACACATATCGTCTTTCGTCTCTTCCTCTAAAGTCTTCCGTGACATGGAATTCATACTCTCACTCCCCCGTCTGCTGCATTACAGTGGACTCGTAGAAGCATCGCTAAGATAGTTTGAGCAATAATCGATGAAGACACGACGCTGAACTTTTCAGACGGTGCACGATGCAAGCGTTTACTTCGCTTTATCACCATCCCAACCACAATGCCACCAGCGTACTCCGTCGTCAGCTCCATTTTGGTGAAGTTTTGAAAATTTCGAAAATTATTAAATCCAAATCCGCTACCGCTTATCACAGTCGTCGTAATCACAAACTGTGAAATTGTGTCATAACTTTAAGTGCCCTATATATTTCACCGTGCACCCCTTTTCCCATAATGATAATTATGAAGAAGGTATGCCGTTGACGCTTAAATTAGGGACTCTGAAAAGGTCATTGCGGATTCAGCTGATGATAATGTGAGGGTAATGAGGCGGAATTGGACATTAGAATGTTCGGAACTGTGCTCGATCATGGCTCCTGGACTTGACAGGGGATTGATAAGAGCAATTGAATTTTATTGCGATATGTTAATAGGTACGATATTTAAGACAGTAATTGTATAAATACACAACATTACTGATCGCAACCTAGATATACCTTAACTGTCCTTAAATACGAGGGAAATTATTTAATACAGAAACGACCAATTTAAAACAAAGTTTAAAGGCCAAACGAAACGGCTCGAAAACATCGGTAAATGTTAGCTACGAATGTAAGCAATTACCAACCTTAATTATAACATGACAATGCCTAAAGTTTCTGTATTCATTATATAAAATTGGAATGATTAATGAAGCTTATAATACCCTACTGCTTTTGTGTAGGTACGCCGTTACATAAGGTAGAAGCCGATTTGTATTTAATTCTATTTAAAATATGTGTCAAGTTACCGCGGTCGAATTAGGCATAATGACCGAAAAAGAAAAGTTTTTATTGCTTCGATGGCTGGACGAGCTTACAGCCCACCAGTAATAAATTAATAGTTCGCTTTTATAAAATTTTACGACCCTCCGCTGCAATAAAATTCATTCTTAGCCGAAACGATAATGCTCATCCACGTGTGTGTTGCTCAAAATCGCTTCTGACACGCGCCTAGCTCTAGTATCAACTGTCGTCTACTAAGATGCCTGAACGAGGTTTTTAAAAAGAATATTGACAGACATAGAATGGCTAATGTTCACCACATTTTTTTTTTTTTTTTTTATTTCCTCTGTAGGCAGACGAGCATACGGTCCACCTGATGGTGAGTGGTTACCATCGCCCATGGACTGCAGCAATGCCAGGGGCAGAGCCAAGCCGCTGCCTAGCACAAACATACTGTAATTATTTACCGATGGACTGTACGCTGTGGTATGGCCCTGGTGATCCATCTCGACCCGGCGACCTTCCTTAAATACCGACCTCATATTAACAACAGACGCGCATCGCTAGCTTCAGGGTATGTATCCTGGAAACTTATTCCAAACTCTGCGCGCAACTAAAACGTTGAGCTTTTGAAAGAGGAAATTAAATTTCATTGGAAAGTTTCATTTGGTTCTGGAAACGCTTTGAATGCTAGTTACAGAGCCCGTTGCTCTGAATATATGGAGCAGAGTATTGGTACTGGAGGGGAAGATAAAGCTCGGTTAGGTTAGGTGCAATGTGTTAGGGTGTTTGTTTATCTATATTCTCAGGACAAAGGATCTTAAACAATTCATCAGGTCATTTTCTTCAAGCAACTAACTGCTTTTTAGAACTTTTTGCATCTTGTTTTTTGGTAGTTCGTCTAACCACTTCCTGGTCGAGTGGGGCACCAGCGGCGGCTGCATAACTTCTTCCTCCGACTTTTCTTTGGTGCCCGAAAGGAAAAAAGTTATAAGTTATGGTTTCGATTGTAATAGGTATTTTACTTTCGCGATTATTGATAAAAAGGTTACTGATGGTAGGACCTCTTGTGAGTCTGCGTGAGTGGGTACCACCACCCTGCCTATTTCTGCCGTGCCGCAGTAATGCGTTTCGGTTTGAAGGGTGGGGCAGCCGTTGTAACTATACTTGAGACCTTAGAACTCACCACCCACCTTAGAACTCAAGGTGGGTGGCGCATTTACGTTGTGGATGTCTATGGGCTCCAGTAACCACTTAAAACCAGGTGGGCTGTGAGCTCGTCCACCTATCTATGCAATCAAAAAAATAAAAAATAAGGTTGATGTCATAATGTACTTACCGTAATTGAGCAAGTCCACAATCTCGTCATCGCGAAGAAGTCGAGAGGACGAAGGGATTCTACCATATAGAAAGATTTAAATCAATGCTAGTAATTATTTTTTATAGTTTTTTTTTATTGTATATTGGTAGTATACAGAGATGAACTTACAATTGACGCCGAGCTGCTTTTGTGGTGCGACCCGGATTTCTGAAAAATAAAACGAATATTTAATAACATATATAAAAAAAAATACGTATAAAAATATGTTTATGTGTATGTGTAAAAAATGTATACTTACACAGGCCGCTCGATGGCCGGTGTGCTTGCCCCGCTTCTAGGCCCACATTCTAAGTATCTACAAAAAATTTGATTTAAGAAATGAGTACAAAATAAAATAAAAAAATCAAGTAAGGCACTAAGGGAGTTCATATCGAGTCCCTTCTTTATTTCGCCGTAAAGTCGCGTATTATGTAATTAACACCACAGTTGGAACAATATAAATTTTATTGTTGTAGCGGCATAAACAATTCTAAGTAATTATATTATATTAGTTATTTAACACATTATAAATTATTTTTACGTTTTAAATATTTGGCGGTAAAAAAGGTCCCGTGTCACAGATTATATTCTTTTTCCCACCTCTCGTGCGTTCCGGCTTACGCATCATATAAAGGTGCGTTTAAGGCCACAGCACCTATCTCAAAATTCAAGTTTTTCTTTGATTTCAAACTAAGCAATAACTATTGAATAAAAATTTTATATAAATTTAATGGCTCAAAAATTTTGTTTCTCGAACATATTTTTCTTTATTTATTAAAAAAATAGGATATATTATTGAATAGTATAGTTACAGGGCAGGTGATGGCACCGGAAGCTCTTCCTGGTCCCTCCTGGTCGACGTCGGAAGGCCCTATATCCACATTTCTGATCTGAAAACAAAGCTATAGATACTGTTTTGCTATTAAAAAACCTAAATATATTTAAAAGTACCAGAATACACACCTGGGTGTTTCGCCACTACAGGAGCGAGCACCCTTACCCTCTTAGGGTGCAGTGGCGTCTCCAGAAGTTGACCTGGTGGCAACTCCTGTATTGGCATTGTGACGAGTCTGAAATGCGTATCGGCATTAAAATAAATATATCAAATGAGCTTTTGCTAAAAGTCGTAGATGTGTCTAGGCTCCGGTAACCACTTAACATCAGGTGGGCCGTGAGCTCGTTCACCCATCTTATGCAATAAAACAAACAAAAAAGTAAATAAAAATATATCTTAATTTAGGTTTTAGTTTTAAGAGGTAATTACAATTCAGAGGCCGAAGGTCGGGCTTGGTGGTGACTACCACCGCGTGTGTGGACACGTCGACCGCCACCACGACCACCTCTACCTCGACCACGGGCTGCAGCAAGTTGAGTGGAAATAAAAAAGTATAAATTAGTTCAAGAAGTCTGCTTATGTAAAGAATCCAATTACTGGTACAAAATAAAATAATAAATCAAATATCTAAAACAAAAACAAATGAATAACTTTAACGCCGTATCTTTATTTGTTGAACATCGGCCATTTTGTTACATAAAACCCTCTGTGTTATGAGTACGTAATTTGGACGCTTAAGTGTGTTCATATCTTTGAAGTCGAAATTTTTACATTTGCGACTAAAATACACGTCCTTTGTAATAATTTTAATTAAGTTCATTAAAATATTGACCTCATTACAAAAAATCGCGTGGATTTTGTTAATTTTTTTATTAAAAAGATGAAGAAAAACTAAAGATGACAGTTAGGTTCAAAAAATGACGAGGCCGTTACTTCAAAAACTGTTTTTTGTCATAAAATGCAAATAATATTTACTCCATGTTAGTAAAATATAATGAATATTAACAATACAAAAAATCCATTACACTTTTATTTTCTTAAATCTTCGAACACGTGCGACTGCACTGAACTCAAATTTCACACAGCCCCCTTCAGCTATTTTGTCGTAAATAATGTGTGAGAGAGAAGGTTAATTCATTGGGTACAGTTTTAAATGTGTTAGAAAGAATAAACCATAATTTTATAACTGTTAATAGTTCAAAATAAGGACTACGCGCGTCCAAGATTTGGACGCTCAACATACGCGTAAACATCGCGGTTTGTCCAAGATTTGGACGATCAACACGTTAGGGTACTTTAAAGTTGATAATTAATCTATATTATGAAATATCTCCGAATAAATAATTATTTCACATCAGCCAGTATCTCTCCACTGCTGGATGTAGGCCTCTCCCATAGTCCGCCACAATGAACGATCCTTCGCCTTCCGCATCCAATCACTCCCAGCATATCGCCACAAGTCATCGGTCCAACAGGCAGGGGGATGCCCAACGCTGCGCTTACCGGTACGCGGTCTCCAGTCCAGAACACGTCTGCTCCATCGGGCATCGGTTCTGCGACACGTATGTCCGGCCCATTGCCACTTCAGCTTGCTAATCTTTAGGGCTATGTCGGTTACTTTGTTTCTTTGACGGATTTCATAATTTCTGACTCGATCCATCAAAGAAACTCCGAGCATACCCCTTTCCATAGCACGCTGAGCGACTTTGAACTTACGGACCAGACCTACGGTCAATGTCCACGTTTTAGCGCCATATGTCATGACCGGCAGTACGCAAGCGTTAAAGACTTTTGTCTTTAGGCATTGCGGGATTGCTGAGTTTAAGATATGACGGAGTTTTCCATACGCAGCCCAGCCCAACTGTATGCGCCTATCAGCTTCCTTCTCAAAGTTGGCCCTGCCTAGCTGAACAATTTGGCTGTATGCTGGGTGAGCTCAATGCCGCGTCATGACGTGTTGGTCTGGGAATGAATCTAGACAAAACCAAGGTCATGTTCAACGACCATATCATTCCTGGACCGGTAATAGTCGAAACCGCGGTACTCGAAGTTGTGTCAGAATACACCTATCTAGGCCAAATAATTATTGATTCGTGGTGAAATATACAATATTTTGTAACTGGAATTTCAAACATAATTGAAATTCCTTTAACGATTTAACCTCGTGTTTTATTGTTATTATATTTGTACGCCGGCGCAACTATACCATTTAGTTAACAAAAAATAGTTAAATATAACTGTTTTCTTAATGTTACGCATGTCAATAACTATTTGAGACGGTATTCAAAAGAATTCATGACTAAGCTACCCTCACTTGCCACTATTAATACGAGTGATTATTGTCGCACAAAACATCCACGTCCTTACGGATCCATCAGATTCAATAGCCTGCATAGATGCCTTTAGCTCTAACACTAACACTGTTAAGTTTCCTTTGGGGGCGCTCGGGCAGCTGTTACCAAATCCCACCCCTCCTGACTGAGACTCTGCTCGCCCACCCGTCCTGGTGAAACTGGAGAAGCCTCCGGGCCACCAGTGATCCCTCAATCATAAGAAAAAAAGTACAAAACATTCCGACTGAGACGGAGCTCTCTGTTTTTATCGTTGTAAACTCGAAATACAATAAACGTGATTCATTGGAAAAGCAAGTCTTAAATACACTCACTATCAAAAGCAATGATAGGGATGAAGAGAATGACGTCAGCGAGTCGCTGACGTCATTCTATATCCTATAAATTATTTAATACTTCACAGTTTTCGTGGTTCTTTTGAGTTAAAATTGTTATTCGCCGACATTAATAGCACAATTTTCAATACTCGAATCCACTATTCCTGTTTCCCAAAATACAAGCAATGTAATAAAACGTACTATTTCAAAAGGGTTAAAGATTTGCAACACTACATAAAATTGGGTACAACGCTTTAACTACATTTAGATATCTACAAATAAACACAACTTCAAGAAATTCTTCCTCTTCGCATCGTTTTCTCGCTGCTTGTGTGTGTGCTATGTCTATGTCTTTCCAGCGTTTGCGATCATGAGCCGTGTGAAGGGCTTCGTGGAATTTATTGTGGTGCGGATTTGATCGAACCAACTTTTCGGGCTGTGCCCACGTACTGTTCCCCTCGATCTTTCCTGTCATAGTCACTCTAAGCTATCAAGAAATTACGTGATCATAAATTGTATTTTTAACGCCACATTTGACATTGGCGGTTTCGCTTCCGAACTATCCGGGACGGTGACACCAAATTGGCTTACAAATGTGTTAGTATCAGTTGCGAAAACTAATTAATTTCACTACGAATACACATTAATTGTATTAGTACAAGTGAAATCATTATAGGTACTGAATTTGATCGCTTGGTTTTTTACTAAGATTTCTTTTTATCAAGTTCAGAAAAGAATTGGAGGCTTTAGAGCATGTTGTCCTTTTTTGAGTTTCTGGATCCCAGGTTTATCTTCCTTTGCTCCATACATCAGAATTGCTTGACATCAAATACTCTATTACCCTTTCACTGCTTTCGCTTATTGCATTAAAATGACGTACAAGAAATATCTGGGCAAAACCGAAGCAATTGATGGATTCCTATTATTTCCTCTTTTGGGAATTCCTTTAACTTGAATCTGAGCATCTATCATCATCAATTTGGTGCCTATTTATATGTCAAATGTCTCATTCTCCTCTTTAGTAATATACTAATTTACTGGTGGTAGGACCTCTTATGAGTTCGCTCGGGTAGGTACCACCACTTCGCCTATTTCTGCCGTGAAGCAGTAATGCGTTTCGGCTTGAAGGGCGGGGCAGCTGATGTGACTATACTGAGACCTTAGAACTTATATCTCAAGGTGGGTGGCGCATTTACGTTGTAGATGTCTATGGGCTCCAGTAACCACTTAACACCAGGTGGGCTGTGAGCTCGTCCACACACCTAGGCAATAAAAAAAAAGAAATATATATATATAGTGATAAGCACGGTTCACTATTGCTGCTACAAATGGCGCTGGACTTCCACATGTATGTATGGGTTTGTATATAAATAATTTCGAATCATCATATGCAACCCATATGTAACTTCTGGATTTATATGGGAATTGCTTATTATCATGTTCTTTATTTCCTACATTCACTAAAGTACAAGATATTAAACTATTTAATTTATGGTTCCTCTCAAAACGTCTTTTATAGTTCTCTTTCCTTTATTCGAATTTACTATATGTAATTGCTTAGGCGAAATGCTCATAAGTGGTGCTCATACCTTACCATACCTACCATATACCTTTCTTGACATTTAAACAAAGAAATTACGCTCGCATTTTTTTATATCGTCATGTCATTCATTTGCACATTATTGTACATGCACAAAAAGATGAAAGCGAAGTTCTGTATCTTTTTTCTGCTTGTCAAACTCTTCCTTTTTGCTTTTTAACTAACAGTAAAATTTAGCGTTATCTATTAAAATTATGGAAACAGATTTTCCCATTGTCACAAGAAAATAATACGAATAACAAAACAATAAATAAAATGTAATACGCAAAATGAACCTTGAGGTGTCG